GGCCTGACCTTCAGTGTCCTAATTGGCCCCTCGGCCCCAGTGTCTGTCCCCTCTGCTCACTCCTTTCCAGGCTCTGCCACAGTAGGCTTGAGCAGGCCACCTTAGCTTTCATGAGAATCACGTGGGGGAACCTAGGAACACCATCCCAAACCCATTTCATTCCAAATACAAATTGGAGTTCAATTTGCCAACATACAGTATAACACCCAGTGCTTATCCCGCCAAGTGCCCCCCTTCAGTGCCCGTCACCCAGTCACCCCAACCCCCCCCCCGCCCACCTCCCTTTCCACTACCCCTTGTTCATTTCCCAGAGTTAGGTGTCTCTCATGTTTTGTCATCCTCACTGATATTTTCACTCATTTTCTTTAAAAACTCCCTAGTTTACAAGTCAGGTCCCACCCCTGACCTAGGAATCAGAATCTGCATTTGAACAAGACCCTCCTGGTGATTCTTAAGCTCCTTATAGGTTGAAAAGCTCAGCTCTAAGGTGTTGTCTGACCATTCATTCCACAAATATTTACTGGATTTTCTCCACTGCAGGCTAGGGGTTGGGACGGTCAAGGGCCAAGGTCCCGGACTTAGAGAAGCTCACCGAAACTTCAGTCAATCCCTTGCTTAAAACCTGCCATTCGCTCCCACGCTTTCCAATTCCAGACTTCTGCCCCTGACCTTCATGGCCCATTGGGGCCATGCTTTATCCTTGTCACCAGCTCTACCGTCTAGCACTCACCCTGAGAACCTAGTTGGACCACTTGCCACTTCTCACAGCTAGCTGGTGCTTGTCAGCCTACACACAGCGCTCAGCCCAGGCCGCGCTCTACCTGCCTCTGCCTGGAGACACCCAGGAGAAATCCTCTGAGATCCATCACACAAGTCACCTGCTTCTTGAAATTTTCCCAGACCTTCTTCGCTCAGATGAAAGGCAGGAATTCCCAAAACTCCTTGCTCTTCTCCCCCCGCCCCGTGGTACTCTCATTCTGCTCAGTTTTAAAGCCAGCACACCTGCTGGAGCTACCCCAGGAGAGACCATGATTCTGTTTGTCTCCTCAGTAGCAATAAGCTAATAACTGGCACATCATCAAATCTCTAAGTAAGAAGAAGGATACATGCATTACAAATCATGGATGACTGCAGTAAGTGAGCCATTCACTAATCTCTCTCATTTCCCACTTCAAAGTCGTTTGAATATAAATTTAAGAAGAATAGTAATGGGCTGCCTTGCCAGCCCAAAAGAGAAATAATCTCTAAATAATTTTTTGCTTTCCATACTCAAGTAATAATCAAAGACTGAACATACTGAAGATGAATTCTGTGCACGGCCAATCACCTCTCTGTAGTTGGACATTTAAACTCACAAAACGCAACATGAAATTTGGAAACACTTCAGATTTGTATTAGAATCAATTAAGGCATGGGAAAGAGACAGACGAAGAAAGGGATTTGAAGCAGACCAAAATATGGAAAGAGGGACCGACCTGACGACATACCCAGCGGCTCTAAAAGTAAAACTACAATACTCTGGGTTTGTTTTTTAAGAGGATTAAGGATTTGGTTTGCTAGAATGCCCGTTTCAATCCTCTGCAAACTTCGGAAATGCTGGCTTTTAAATCTATAATCTTATTTTCATTTGAAGAAAAACTGCAGGTCTGGAACTGGGACGTCATGAGGGAGAGGCGGGGCCCACTTTCCAGCAAAACCTTCCCCATCTGGCTGTCTGCTGGGACGCGGCGGCTTGAGACTTGGATGGGCAGGCTGCTGCATCTGCACACACCCGAACAGCTGGGCTTGGGCACGCAGACCCTAAGCCGCCCGGCCACCGCGGGCTCTCTAGGTTTCGCCGGTGCTTCAGCGACGTGCCGCTCTGACCCTCCTGCGCATCTCCAGGGCCACGCTGGCACCTGCAGGGGCGCGGATTGTCCGTAGGTCCCGGGCTGGGGGGAAACTCGGAGCAAATCCATGGGAGGTTTACCCTCCTCTCAGTTTTCTGGCCGGAGAAGAGCGAGAGGGTCCCTGTCCTCGCGCCTGGGACACGCTCTGGGGCCCTTCCTGGCGCTGCCTCCCACCCCTCGGGTGGTTCTTGATTGAACCTGGGGGCTCTCGGTTCCCCAGGCAATGCACCCGCGGGGCTCCGGGTCCGGAACGCGCGAGGGACCTGGGGCGTGGGGAGAGCCCACTGACCTGGGTGCGGGGCTCCTCTCCGGGCGGCTCAGGTGTGCGGGCCGCTCCCGTGTCCCTCCCACCTCCGAACATGAGAGCCGCGAGCCGAGCTGCAGGCCACTGACCCACCGACCAACTGACCGACCAACCGGCCGACCGAGCGGCGGCGGCCGGGTCTGGAGCCCACGTGACGGGGCGGGACCCACGGGAGGCTCGAACCGGAGTCCCCGCTTTCTCCCGCCCTCCTCCCCCGGGACCGCCCCCCAACTCCCCTCCCCTCTCCGGCTGCGCGGCTGCCCGCAGGGACCCGTCCGCCACCGGTTCCCTTCCCTCGGGGACCTGCCTCGTCAACCCCGCCCCTTCGGACCTGCCTTCCCCGCGTCCGCCCAGCCGCGGCCCCGCCCCCCGCCCCCCGGGCCGCGCTCGGAGCCCGCAGGCCCCGCCCCCACGAGGCCCCGCCTCCCGCGGAGCCCCGCCCCCTCCTGTCAACACCCCCCCCCCGCCCCCCAGCACTCTTACGACCCCGGAGAGACCGACCGGCGGTTCCCGGCGCTAGTGCTGCCAGTCCCCCCGGGCTTCTCCAGCCCTGCGGCACCATTCCCGGCCGGCCGCAGGAAATGCAAACGAGGAAGCAGAAAAGCAATTTGTATCGAGAATTGCAAAGAGAAGCCACAGAAAAAAAACACTTAGAGGCGCGCTCAGCGCAGCAGCCCTTTGGCTGTTCGGACGGCCCGGACCCGAGCGATGCAGTCCAAATCGAGGTTGTCCCGAGGGCAGCTTCATTCCCGGTATCTGAACAACAAACGCAGAGTTTGGAAGGCTCTGAGTCACCCTAGAGTCTGGTTGCGCTTGAACCCCGCGACCTGGGGTGGAGATCCCCCTAGTGGTCAAGCCCCAACCAAAGACACCGGATCTGTGAACAAGAAGCACTTCCCTCTGCTCGGCACCTAGATGGGGTTCCACAGACGGGCAAAGCTTTGGCACCTGTGACCACAAGAATGGGTCCTGGAGACTCAGTCCAACACCTTCCCCCAGCGTATGGCCTGAATCCCCTCTAGTTGTACTGCTAGATTGCTGCCTTGCCCAGGCCTCCCGGGCTGGTTGCTCAATTCAGCTGACTTAAAATCCCTGTGGGCCGTGGATGGCATCTGCACCACAGACTCTGGCATAGTCCCCAGCTCTGGCAGGAGTCACTACAGCCCTGACCTCAGTTTTAATCTACATTTCTACAGGCTGGACAAATTCCACAAGGCACATCTTTTTTCAGATGACCTGGTGGTCTGAAATTACCAGTATGCCCAGAAGACTTTTACATGTGAACAGAACTTAAGCCACCTCAGCAAATATGAGCCTCCGGTCACTGCAGGAACCTGGCCAGAAGCAGACCAAAGGCAAAGCCAGCAGAGGAAGGCTGAGGCCCACAGAGTTGTGTTACAGCAGGACACCCTTCGGTTCTCTTTCACTTCCTTAAAATAGCAGCAGAGGCTTTTGTAGACCTAGGCGCTACAGTTCACATGAGTTCATGGGCGTTTCCAAATCCCACATGTTATTGCCCCAGTGGACACACTGCCGTAACCTCAGCCCCTAGAAAATGTTAATCTGTCTTAGAACTATACAACTGCTTTTTAAAAATTACCTTAAAAAATGGAGCAAGTCCCTGACTCTCAAGCGTCTTACACTTTGGAACCATTTTGAGGGGAGGAGGCTTAAAAAATAACTGTTGTCTGGGTCCTACCTCCAGAGGTCTGGGAGTAAGCCTAGTATTAGGATTTTTCAGAGCTCCTCAGGTGATTCTCATGTGCAGTCAAGTTTAAGAACTGCTGCTACAGGACTTAGAGACTTTCATTCTGACCAATACCCAATAAGAGACCCCAGAACTCAACAGTTTACATGAAAGAAGCCCAAGAGCGTGTTTGTGGCCCTGCATGCTGTCCTACCCTGGCTCCCAGGAAACAAAGTGCCACATTAACAGGGAAACAATGTCTTGACCTAAAAGAATGATTCTAGATGCAGGAATTTAAAGCACCTGGTGGGATATTAGTAGCAGGTGCACCCTTCAGAATTGTCACATCAAAGTCTATCATGGATGAAAGGCAACTCTCCTCTGGGCCGCTAAAGGCCATGTGTGTAGGACTCACACATAATTCCACTCACTGATAATCCCACTCCAACCTCCTCTTGAGGCATCCCACATTCCTTATTCCTGCAAAATAGGTAATGTTATTGTACCCACAGGGCAGATAATGTCTGTAAACCCACGGAGTGGGTAACATCGCCATGTTTATATATTCATACCTGCCTCGTTCCACAACAGATTGGGGCTCTGTACCCATTAGAACTGTGGATAATTGTGCTGTATACATGGGGTGAGTAATTCATTCCGCCAAAGACCTACTCAAATGCTATGGGGGGAGAGAAATGTCTCTTCATTGCCTATGGTCCCACCCTGAGCTTGGCAGAGTTGGCAAAACAGCTGCAAGCACACAAAACAAACCCTCTCATGTGACCAACCTGGAAAGAGACAGAGGCCTCAGCACATGACACAGGCTGGCACCACAGCCTGCACTTGTGACCCACACTAGGCACAATTGGGCAAATGCATGGGAAAGATTTGAAGAAGCCCCTCTGGACGAGCACAGCTGTGCTCTGTCACCTGTGCCACTTGGCATGCCTGCTGTGACAGGGAGTCACTTGCCCGCTACCTGGCTTCCATCCAGGTTCCAGAATCTTTCCCAAGGGCCTCAGTGTGCTGGGGAGTGTGCCAGCGAGTCCAAGCATGGGCAGCATTTCCTGAAAGCTTGTCTGCAGAAGGCACGTACACAAATATAACCTGATGGGGCGTATTTGCTTAGTGTCAGTTTTATTGTGTTTCCAGCAAGCAGACAGACACAGGGGAGGGTAAGACAGGATGAAGCTACAGGTGGGATCCTCACCCTTAGGCTGTAGGCTGGTTTTCTGGAGGAAGTAGCTTTTGAAGGGCTTACAGGAAGGTCTTGTGCAGACATGAAAACAGGCTACAGGGGGCAGACCATTATTTTTTAGGATGAGATGCTGAACATAAGGCTGAGTGAACAAACATACGTATTCGATGCTTTCTTGGGCAACAGAAAGACCAGGACCTGCAGAATTTTCTAGCCTTATTTTCATTTGGAAGCGTCATTATTCTGAATGGCTCACCTAAACTTGTCATCTCTAAAATGGCAATTATAAAGACTTCTTCCAAATGTCTCAGAGGGTGGCATTAGATGATGTACAGAGGAGCACTTTGTAACTGGCAAGGGGTATTCAAATGTGAGTGGCTTTACTTTCCTCATATCTCCTCCTCAGCTTGGTGAAGGAGCAGAACTGGGGGACATGGAGATTAAACATCAATAGGAAGTGATACTTTAGTTGGGCAGTAAAAAATGGAAGAATAGCAATCGGCACTTGTGCAGGAGGAAAGAGCTTCAGGAAAGGCCAGGGGCCAGGAATATTAGGAGGCGGGGTACATTTTGGCTAACTGTTGGGGGTAGTAAGAAAAGGCTGGACGTAAGCTAGATCAGCATGTGGACGGCCTTGAGAGCTGGGAGATTTGGATGGGTGTTGGAAGTTGAAAATTTCTGAACAACAGACCATCTAAGCTCTTGGAAGATAACTCAGGCTTAATATCCAGGGAAGGATGCATATGGGAGCCCACTTCTAGCCTCTCTCCCTGAATGTGATCAGGGGATACTGTATTGCAAAGGGGCTGTGGCCTCAGTGTCCCGGAGAGCAGCGTCCACAGCCTTACTGCTCTCTCTCCGTGCTGTCCTGCATTACTCCAGAGGCTGCTTTCTCTTTGTCTGGAGTTTGTAAATGATCTGGTTTCCATCATTCCAGGCATAGAGCTGCTTATCTCTGGGGTTGTAATGGATCATGGAGTGACTTCTCGGCCGCCTGGGGAAGAACAGTTTGGGCAGATCCTCCTCACCAATAGTGCCCAGGGGATCGTAGACACAGGTGATGCGGTGAGGGCCGTGGCCACCAGGACTATAGACCACATACAGAACCCCACACAAAAGGAAGGAGGCTTCAGCATCCTGGCTTCTGCATGGAGTGTCCCATGAGTGTTCCACTCCCAGTGTGCCAGGTTCAATTTTTGTGAGAACCAAATGGCCATAGATGCCTGGCCCTGAGTGGATGGCCCAGAGCCCATGCTCATCCACAGCCAGGTCTATGTACGTTGATGGGGAGTGCTGGTAGACCAGTCCTCGGCCTGCCCCTCCTGGGAGCAGCATTCTATCTTCCACAGTTCTCTTCTGCAGATTATATTTGATGATCTCGTTGAGAGTCCCTTGGTTGTGAAAAAACAGAAAACCTTTGTGGATCACTTGGCCTGTTCCCTGCCAGGAATGTGTTAGGATTAGCTTCCTCGGGGCTGGCTTGGTGCTATCCTCCATGAATGCCCGTATGTTTGCAAATTCCCACACGGTTTTGTTTCTGGATCCAATTAAAAAATAAACCTTTTGGGAATTGCTGGCAGCATCTTTCATCCAAGAGCCATGTGTGTCCGTAGTCTTCTTCACTATTTTCAGAGACTTAATGCCCATCAACATGTTGTCACAGCCTGGCCAAATGGGAGAAAAAGGAGAGGTACTTTATATACATGAGATGTCTGCTTTTCTCACAGATTACTTCTTAATTTTCTGTTTATTGAAGCAGAGTTGACATACAATGTTACATCAGTTTCATATGTACAACATACTGATTCAACTTCCCTATGCGTTATGCTTGCTCACAAGTGTAGTTACCATCTGTCACCACACAACACTCTGACAATACCATTGACTATATTCCCTATACTGTATCTTTTATCACGTTTATTCATTTTGTAACTGGGAGCCTGTGCCTTCCACTGTTCTTCACCCGTTTTGCTCCCCCGCAACAACAATGGTTTGTTCCCTATATTTATGGGGTCTGTTTCTTTTCTTTTCTTTTTTTCTCTTTTCTTTTTTTAGATTCCATATATAAATAAAATCATATGGTGTCTTTCTCTAACTTATTTCACTTAGCATAATACCCTCTAGATCTATCCATGTTGTCACAAGTGGCAAGATTGCATTCTTTAGGGCAGAGTAACGTTTTATATATACCACATCTTCTTTATCCACTCATCTATTGAAGGACATTTAAGTTGCTTTTATGTTTTGGCAATTATAAATAATGGTGGAACAAACACAGGGATGCATATATCTTCTCAAATTTAGTGTTTTTGTTTCTGTTGGGTAAATAGCCAGTAGTGGAATTACTGGATTATATGTTATTTCTATTTTTAATTTTTTGAAGAACCTCCACGCTGTTTTCCACAGTGGCTACAACAATTTATATTCCCACTAATAGTATACAAGGGTTCCTTTTTACTCCACATCCTTGCCAACATTTGTTATTTCTTTTTGATACTAGCCATTCTGAAAGGTATGAGGTGATATCTCTTTGTGGTTTTGATTTGCATTTCCCTGATGATTAGTGATATTGAGCGTCTTTTCATGTGTCTGTTCTAACAGATTGCTTTTTTCCTTCTGTGTCTAGAATAAAGTTATCACACATAGATCAATCACAATTTATCGTATGGTTTAAAGAATCAAAGAGCTAAATGAATAAATGGGTTCTTGTTAAGGAAGTTGCTATCCAATTAGAAGAGTCAACATTTCATTCAAATCAGGATTTAAATAGCTATTTGCTGGGTCAGAGACCCTGTTCACCTTCTTGGGGTTGAGACAGCAAGAATCACTTAGGGGTGAAGCTGCCTAATTCAATTCCATTTGCCAAGATTTTACCAATTATCTACTGTGTACTTAGCTTACAATGCTCCCAGAACCATGCTAAGTAAGTATTGAGGATAAAAAACATAATATCAACCCTAAACCTTGAGGAGATCACCTTCTAGTGAAGGATTCTGGCCCTTAATCCTATTAGAACATTATAACTAATCCCCTCCTTTATTTACTCATGAATGCATATATGTAGTCAGTAGATACTGAATACCTACAAAAGGTGAGATAATGAGCTAGGGGTTATGAACTGAGGTGCAAAGGGCTGAGGGGCAATGATGAGTTAGGATTGGTTCTTGCTTTATGGAAACTACAATAGAAAACTTAAAGTGGATTTTTTACAAAAGAGCAGAGAATGGTAATATCATTTGAATAGGAGATAACCTACATTTGATTTGATCCTTGAGGGGTGCCATTCTGAGATGGTTGGGAATAGCATTCTTTGCAATTCACAAAACCACATTTGGGAAAGGCCTTCATGACTCCTGTTAGTAAAGTAGTGTAGAATTTAATCCAATAATTGCTGTTGCCTCAAACTTGAAACCAGCTCTGTGCCTGGAACATTGGGCAGTGGGGTGCGGTTAAGGAATATGGATTTTATTCTACTGGCAGGTAGGGAGCTACTGAAGTTTTTGAGCAACAGAGTATCATGGTCAAGATTAATTAAGCAGTCGTGTGTATGATTAATACATAGGAGAGAAACCAAAATCAGGGAAACCAACTAGGAGAGTATGTCTATAATCAAAACAGGATCATAAGGGTCTGAAATAGGTGAAGGATGATGAAATAACAAAAGAGCTTTACATTCTCTGGCTTCTCTACCTTCATGCAAAAAACCTCCCTTCTTTGTATATCACGCTATCGACTCCTCCTAGTCTAAATCACTAATAGGTCTCCACCCCATATGCATCAAGAGTCCGGTTACCTCAACCTCTTCAACTCCATGGCACAATGCTTTCAACCTATTCTAGCAACCCGGGATCCCTGGGTGGCGCAGTGGTTTAGCGCCTGCCTTTGGCCCAGGGCGTGATCCTGGAGATCCAGGATCGAATCCCATGTCGGGCTCCTGGTGCATGGAGCCTGCTTCTCCCTCTGCCTGTGTCTCTGCCTCTCTCTCTCTCACTGTGTGCCTATCATAAAAAAAAAAAGTACATATTCTAGCAACCCCCTCCCACACCCATACTCTGGATCCCTGCCTCCCATCCCCTGGAACTGCTCCTTATTAGAAATGGAAAACTCTATACTCCTACCCTCTGCAACAATTCCTTACTCTTCCATTTCTCACATTTTTATTCTCACCGACTCTGCTCTTCCATTTCCTCATGCCCTCCAGTCCCTTGACCTCTGCTTTCTCCCAGGCTATCAGCTTCTGTTCCTATCTAGCCTGGACTACTGCAATACCTCTCTCACCAGCGCCCTCACCCACCACCCCCTTGTTATTCCACAGTTACCCACTCTACAAAAACCCCTGGTTCTGGGTGAGTTCAAATATCTGGCTCCATCCCAGAGTGTGTGGTAGAGAAACTGTCTCACAAATGTGTCACTACACATTAGGGATCTCCAACTTCAGCTGAGCACTAAGTACCATACCGCTCTCTCCATGGTTAGGCCCCCATCTGCCACATAGCAGGTGTCTTAAATCTGCACCCCCACCACATACACACACACTACCTCATCAGTCCGTATATTAGTAACAGACTAACTCCTTTGAAAAAATAAACACCATTAGACATGAAGTCCCTCCATTTCCTGTCCCTCACTATAAACTTTTCTTAAGTTGTTCCTACTCTTGCTACCCTCCCACACATCTTTGAAGAGGCACATCATTCCTCCTGTCCAAGACTAATGCATTCACTTGTGCTCTGATCTCACTCTTTTCTGGCTTTTTTTTAATTTTTTTTTTTCATTTATTCATGAGAAACACACAGAGAGAGGCAGAGACATAGGCAGAGGGAGAAGCAGGCCCCCCACAGGGATCACTACCTGAGCCAAAGGCAGACGCTCAACCACTGAGCCACCCAGGTGCCCCCTTTCCTGGCTTCTCGACTCTCTAGATGAATTGCAACCATTCTATTATTTATCTTTAATTTCTCCTTCACTGCTAGTTCCCTCACTTGTAAACACCCTGCCTATATTCAAAAACAATTCTCCCTCAATTAGACACCATCCTCTAGCTATTTCACTCTTTCTATCATTTTATGTAGTTCTTCCTCCAGAATAGTCTATGCTCTCTTGGTCTACTTCTTCACCTCTCATCTTTCACTTCACAATAACTTCACAGAAACTACCCTTCGTAACATCACCAAGGACTTCCCAACTGAAACTCGGACCTTTATGTTCATATCCTACTTCATCTCCCCACAGCATGACAGTCTTGATCAATTTCTCTTTCTTAAAGATTTCTTTTTTTTTAAGATTTTTTTTTTTATTCATTCATGAGAGACACAGAGAGAAAGGCAGAGACAAAGGTAGAGGGAGAAGCAGGCTCCCTGCAGGATCCTCCAGAACTCCAGGGTCATGACCTGAGCCAAAGGCAGATGCTCAACCACTGAACCACCGAGGAGTCCCTCTTTCTTGAAGATTTCATTTCCCTTGATCTTTGTGTCACTACTGTCGTTGTGTGTGCCTCCTACTTGTTTCTTCCCTACTTATAGCAGAGACAGTATCTGTGTTCATCAAATGCCATTTCATTTTCCTCTTCCCTACTTGTATATTTGCACCTTTCTTTGTAGTTAGGCTGTACCCACTGATCTGTCTTCTGTCCACTGAGATGGTGGAAGCCACTTCCATGGGCCCTCAAATACACTATCTTCCATGAGATGACCTAAGTATCTTGGAATTCTCATAGTGTCCATGGTAAAGAGGGATATGGGCCAAGATGAAATTAGTTCTACTGGTCATTTCAGGAAAGGTAGGTCACCAGTTCTAGTGAGGAACTCATTGTTGGGACTGCCCTGTTAGTCTGTTGTGAGGTAAGCAGTGTCATGGGGGTAGGGAGTGGTGGCTTATTTGAAGCATAAGGAATCCTGTGGGTATCCCCCAAATCCTGCCAAGATCTGTATGGGAACCATATGGGCCTCTCTCAGTGACTGCTGGAGTGTGTGGTGGTGGGGTACCAGGCATTTAACACTCTCCCCAGGAGCACTGAGCATCTGTGTGTTTCCCTCAAGGCTTTGCAAAGGCTTTGCTGTAAGAAGCTGGATGGGCCAGTGGGTTGTCATTTTCTTCCTAATAGATGCTTGGGTTCTTCAGGCCAAATGGGGACTCTCTAGAGTCAGAGGACAGGAAACAGGGTAAAGGAAGAGAAACTGGACACAAAGAGGAGAGGTGCACAGCCTGAGAAGTTCCAGAAGTTTTGAGGTAAGCAAGCATTTTAGCAAACTGCTTGTTACCGCTGTTTGGATAGAATTCTATCACAGTTCCTTCATCAATTCATCATCTACTATTACCGTACCTTCTTTTCTCTCCTCAAAGCCTCCATCATACCTTCCTCACTCCCATATGAAGGTCTCGACTCTTATTTCACTGAGAAATAGAAGCCAGTCGAGAACTGCATCATCTCCTGCCAGCATTACTGTAGTAATTTCCCACAGGGAGGCCATACGTCCATCCTTGACTCCTGTACTGCATTCCACATAACAGCCAAAGTGATCTTTTCAAAATATCAGTCAGATCATATCACATGTCTGCTCAAAACTCACCAGTGACTTTCCATCTTACTAAGAGTACAGTTCAAGTCTTTACCTTCCAGGCAGGTGAGCTGTCCTCATGTGGCTTCTCTGGCCTTACAATACTC